GATAAAACCTAAACGATACCCATCCCTATACTTATGTGACCCAGACACATCTTAAATTCCATTTAACAGAATTTAAAAAGAACAATCAATCCTATCAAAGCTATCAGTGCACAAACCCATAGCAGTAACACATATGAATACAACATTTACTGCTGCACACTGAGGGAATGCAGGTTTGTTTTAAATCAACAGTACACAAGTCTACAGTAACCTGACATTTGTTTCTGAACAAGAGCGGCAACGTTTGGCCCTTCTGTTAAAACACTAAATGGGTCTCTGGCAAAACTCATCACCTTTGTGCGTAGAGCAAGTCCATCCAATCGACCAGAAAACTTCTCTTTCAACCTCGCAGTGAAATCAGTCATCACATCCATGACTTGTGCCGCAGATGAGATGCTTTTGCAGAGCCCTGGAAAATGCAGCAACCGGCCTGTGCTCAAGTCGGTGGTGAAAGGTTCAGCCTGGCTTGGAGTGCACGCATCTGTTCCACAAGCTCAGTGTCAGTTTTGCCTCTGCCTTGTAGTCCCACATTGAGGTCATTCATGTTTTGAATATGTCGCTCAGAAAGCAGACACTGGCCATGAAGCTGTTGTCCTCATGCAATTCAAATGTGTTTCTGCTTTTTTTTTGCCTGCTGTTGCAGAGGAAAGTTGTGATCTCCTCTTTGAGATCACAGAAATGCTCCAGTGCACTGCCTTTGGACAGCCACCTGACATCATTGTGCAATAACAGGTCATGGTGCTCAGCAGACATTTCTGAGAGCAGCATGTGGAATAAGCAGTGCTGGAGGCTTAAATTAATTGTAGCCATCACACTGTCCATTGTTGTTTTGAGCTCCATGCTTAGTTTTGCGCACAACACCATCTGCTGCACAATGCAATAAAGGTTTGAGGTGCAGCAGCCAAACCACTCGCTTTTCCTGCCATGGATGAAGCCCCGTCTGTCACAAGGGGTGGCTGTAGCTCAGGTGGTAGAGTGGGTCATCTACTCACCGGAAGGGTGGTGGTTCGATCCCAGGCTCCTCCAGTGTACATACCAAATATCCTTGGGCAAGATATAAACCCCATGTTGCCCTCCGATGCATCCATCAGAGTGATACAAGCACTAAAACCTTAGATAAAGTGCTTGTGTGACTGGGTGAATGCACAAGTTGTGTAAAGCGCTTTGAGTGCTCAGTGAGAGTGAAAAAGTGCTATATAAGAACCAGCCCATTTACAAGCATACAGACATGCTTCATTACCACTGTCCTCAAAAAAAGCTGAAATCTTCTCAAAGATTATCTCGCCAGTTGTGTGGTTTATTTGTTTTACTCTGCGTTTCTGCCGCAGGCAGGGCCCGTTGGGTTGCTTCTGGGCCCGTGGCCCTTTGAACAGGTTTGGTGAACACTATATTACTCTGTTTGAGCTGTGGGACCAGATCGTTGGGGCGGACCAATTGTTGGCGCAGTATGTTTTGGGGTTTGAAAGCCATAGAGCCACTTGCGGCCCACATCACCCCTACTTCTGGCCCATATATTGACATGAAGAAATATAACGCAAGAGAGAGAGAGAGAGAGTACCAGTGTGTCTATTTGGTAGTTCAATGAAAGGCTTCGGTTAGTTAAGAGTGAGGGGGAAAACATTTGCAGTTTTACCTTGTTATACAATATTTTAAAAAAAAAAGGAAATGTTTGTGAGTGTTTTCTTGTTTGTTTGGGTTTTTTTGTACTACTTGAACACTAAAGTGGCCCTCCAATGAGATGACAGTGCCAGCAGTGGCCCACAGCACATTTAAGTTTGAGAGAAAATGCGTCTCAGCCGTTCCAATACTCCTGACACATGTGGGCCAGCTAACGGTTTCCGCTTAGGCAGCAGTTGTCCCGTGGATTACCTGGTCAATTCTTTACGAGCCTCCCAGCTTTGGTCCTAAACTGACACAACACTATGTTAGTTTCTAATGAACATCTTTAACAAGATCATACAACTCATGGGGTTCAATGGGAAGTCAAGGTGGCGAGGGAGAGCCAGAGAGCCCCATGAGCTGGGAAGACTAAATATTTCAAGTGTCCTGCATCTGTCATCGAGGAAGAACACCTAGAACCTAAAGAAAGAGTTCACACCTACAGGCAGGCAGTCACAGTGATAGAGTGATTCAAATAAATAACTGATTAACCTTGATGTATTGATGCATATATCATGACTATGTGTACAGGAGGAAATATTTGCTTGCCAAAAAACAACACAATGCAGTCATGTCAAGCGGAACATTTCCATTGAGTTTTAAAAACTGTTTTCATAAGCGCATGTCAGAATAACAGTAACTGCCGTGTGACTTGCAGTGATAATGCTGACTGGGAAGAAAGTCCTAATTGTATCCAAATATCAGCATCAGAATGTGACCTGACTCAGTCCCTCAAGGCCTCGGATAGGTAAGAACACTGCCATCACCCTTAAACACATCTGGTAGGTTTACATCGAGCTTACTTTATACTTTTACTTTTGATTTTTTTCTTATTGTCAGCAATATTTGTGCTCTGTGATTTTACTCGAGAAAAGTTATATGTACACTACCAGTCAAACGTTTGGACACACCTTCTCATTTAATTGTTTTTCTTTATCTTTACTTTACAAATTGAAGACATTAAATCATATGAAGCAACATATATGGAATTATGTAGCAAGAAAAAAAACATTGATAAATACCCTTTTGCTTTGTTGACAGAGCTGCAAACCCTCGGCCTTCTCTCGGTGAGCTTCATGATGTAGTCGCCTGAAATGGTTTCGCTTCACAGGTGTGACTTGTCGGGAGTAATTTGTGGAATTTCTTGCCGTTTCTATGGGATTGGGACCATCAGTTGTGTTGTGCAGAAATCAGGTTGGCAGAATGAGGTCAACAAGTTCTCATCATCTCCTCCTTCAAGCCTGTTGGAAAACCATTTTCAGGTGACGACCTTATGAAGCTCATCGACAGAATGACAAGCGTGTGCGAAGCAGTAATCAAGGCAAAGGGCGGCTACTTTGAAGAATTTAAAATACATTTTTTGAGTTGTTTCACACTTTGTTGTTTGCTACATAACTCTATATGTGTTCATTCATAGTTTTGATGCCTTCAGTGAGAATCTACAATGTAAATAGTCATGAAAATAAAGAAAAATGACTAAATGAGAAGGTGTGTCCAAACGTTTGACTCGTAATGTGTTATATAAGTGCAGATGAATGTGCCTCCAAAGCATATGTATTCTTTGTGTCCCTATTTCACAGGGCCTACTTTGCTGATGTTCAAACAGAAATCATGGACATGGACTATGAACTCCCTCACACTCAATCTTCCAGGTTCAATCCCTATAGAGAGAGTAGGTTGTATAT